AGCTTTGTAATACTATCCGAGACAGTTGCCTTTCGGTCCAAGAATGATCTGACAAGTGGGAAAGTTTCGGAGTTAGAGGGGATGGAAAGGTAGCTTGTTTTGTTTTGTTTTGTTTTGTTTTGTTTTGTTTTGTTTTGTTTTGTTTTTGAAGACAGGATTTCTCTGTGTAGCCCTGCCTGCCCTGGAACTCACTCTGTAGACCAGGCTAGCCTCAAACTCAGAGATCCCCCTGCCTCTGCCTCCCGAGTGCTGGGATTAAAGGTGTGTGCCACCACCATCTGGCAACACGATTTATGTTTTATATACGGTGAGAGACACTGTCAAAATAATAAAGTGGATGTTTCCTGAGTAGCAAAACTGAAGGTTACTCTCTGGTTTCCACATGCACACACCCACACACGCACATATACACCACCCACCTCAGCCACACACACAAAACTCTTAGAAGAAAGTATGGAGGAGTGTCTTTAAGATCTTGGATTTGGCAACAGTTTCTTCAATGTGACACTTTTATATATCGCTGTGATCTGAGAATTCTTTCCCTTGTTCCTGTTAGATGGCTTTATTTCTTTTTCTTGCCTAATTGCACTGGCTGGAGCCACCACTCCTGTGCTGGATAACAGTGACAGGATTTGCCTGTGGGGGCCTTGTCTTCACCATCAATTCGCTGTTCCTTTTGTTATGTATTTTCTGTGGAAGACCTTGACCAGACTGAGGCGCTCCTTATTACTCCAAGTTCATTTGGTCTTTTAATGATATATATATATATATATATATATATATATATATATATATATATATATATATATATATATATATATATATATATATATATATATATATATATATAAAACTTTATAAAAGGCTTTTTCTTCATCAACTGAGCCAATCATGTGGAATGTTATCCTTCTTGTTCTATTAATTCAAAGATTAAATTGGCTAATATTTGTACATTGAACCATTCTTGCATTCTGGGCACCACGGTGTATACTCTTTTTAATATGCAACTGAGCTGGACTTGCCAGGATTTTTTGAGTATTTTTTGCATCTATATACAAAAGGTGTTGAGCCTGAAGTTCTCTTTCCTAATGGTGTCTTTGTCTGACTCTAATAACAGGTGATATTGTCCTCTGAGAAAGAGCAGGGAATACGCCCTCCTCCACGGTGTTTGAGAAGAGATGTCTCTGATTCTCTCCAGTGACTGCAGTTGGCAGTGAAGTCAACAGACCTTGGGCTTTTTGTAGTGTTGGGAGGCTTTGTTGTTGTTGTTTGTTTTTGTTTTTTTGAGACAGGGTTTCTCTGTGTAGTTTTGGTGCCCGTTCTGGATCTCACGCTGTAGACCAGGCTGGCCTTGAACTCACAGAGATCCACCTATCTTCCTCCCAAGTGCTGGGATTAAAGGCCTGTGCCACCACCGCCCAGTCAATTTTTGCATTCTTAAATAATCTATTTATTTCAAAATCCTTTGGTGTTTATATTCTTGTAAAATGGATCAGCAGGGAAAGGCACTAGCTAACTAACTTGACGACCTAAGTTTGATCTCTGGAACCCACATGAAAGGAGAGAATCATTTTCATAGTTCTCCTCTGACTTCCACGGGCATGCCACACACATTCACATCATGCATACACACAATAAAATAAATCAATGAAATTTTACATAAAAACTAAAGTCTCTTGGAGACATCATATCATTTTAAATCTAATTCAACAATCTCTGCCTTTTAATAGATTTTAATTCATTTATACTTAATGTGATGACTAGTAAAGAATTATTTACTTTCTATTTAGTTGCTTTTCAGGTTAGCTTAATTTTGTTTTGCTGTTTTTGTTGTTTGGTTTGTTTTGAGTTTTTTGATATAGGGTCTAATACAGCCCAGACTACCCTCCACTCTATGTAGCCAAGGATAACTTTGAACTCCTGATCCTCCTGCCTCCCCCTCCCAAGGGCTAGGATTGGCATGCACCCTCACATTCAGGTTGAAATTTTTTGTTTTGTTTTGTATTCTTGTATGTTTTACCCCATCCCTCAGTACTGCCTCTTAAACATTTACTTGGGTTTGTTTGTTTTTTGCTAAATTATCATTGTGACTTCCTTCTTTCTTTCTTTCTTTCTTTTTTTTTTTTTTTTTGTTGTTGTTGTTGTTTTGGTTTGGTTTTTTCTGTATAGCTTTGCACCTTTCCTGGAACTCACTTGGTAGCCCAGGCTGGCCTGGAACTCACAGAGATCCACCTGCCTCTGCCTCCCCAGTACTGGGATTAAAGGCATGCGCCACCACCGCCCGGCTCCTTCTTTCTTTGTGCATTTTCAAGTTATTTTCTTAGGGGTTACCCTGGGATTTCAATCACCCTAATTTGTAACAAGCTTGTTTTCATAAAATCAAGTCAGCTTCAACAGTTATCCACAACCTCTTCCTCTGCTTACAAAGTATCCCTCCCTTTTCTTTGTTCTGTTAACAGATTACATCTTTAGACATTGTATCCTCGTAAACAGCTTTGTAATACTATCCGAGACAGTTGCCTTTCGGTCCAAGAATGATCTGACAAGTGGGAAAGTTTCGGAGTTAGAGGGGATGGAAAGGTAGCTCAGCAGTTAAGAGCACTGGCTACAGCCTGGCAGTGGTGGCACACGCCTTTAATCTAGGCACTTGGGAGGCAGAGCCAGGCGGATCTCTGTGAATTCGAGGCCAGCCTGATCTACAAAGCGAGTTCCAGGACAGACACCAAAACTACACAGAGAAAAAAAAAAAAAAAATCCAAACAAACAAACAAAAAAGAGCACTCACTGCTCTTCCAGAGGACCAGAGGACCTGACACCCTCTTCTGACCACTGAGGGCACCAGGCACAGTTGCAGTGCACATAAATATATGCAGGTAAAACATTCATACACATAGATAAAAATAAATGAATTTTAAAATAGAAAGTAGCCGGGAAGTGGGGCTTACACCAAAAAAATTACTATGTGAATCTGTTTTTTCACAGGAAAATGTGTCAAAATGCTTCATTTAGGGCAAAAAGCAAGTTACCAAGAGGCATGGGTGACTCATTTTTCGTGACTATGTGTGTGTTTACACGTTTAAAGGTGTCTGTGTACACGCACAGAGAAGCATTCATGACTGTAGCCGTGGTGCTGACGCTGGCTGTCACCAGCTGTCCGACCGCTGGGAGGAGGGACACTTCCCATCTCTCCTCAGCACATTCTAGACTGTCTGTCCTGTTTACAGTGAACACATATCACTCTTGGAATCACAAGAAAAGCACTTAAACTGCTTTGTTGTTTGTTTGTTTGTTTGTTTGTTTATTTAGTTTAGTTTAGTTTTCTTGTTTCTCCCCTGCAGGGTCAAGGGGGTGAGGAGACATTGGCTGTGGAGACTGAGTGAGGAAGAGTCTGGGAGGCAGAGGGATTGAATGGAAGAGCACAGGCAAATGCAGAGTCAGGCACAAAAACCCTCCCTGTTACAGGAAATTCACCCCATGGGCTGACTGGAGAGCACTGGGTGGTTGCTGGGAAACAGGTGTTTCCAGGGACCCCAGGATCAAGGCCCTTTATGTCATAAAAAGTGTCTGCGCTCAGCACACAGGCAGGAGAGTAACAGATTTTGATTTACAAGTTTTGCTTTATGTATTAAGCAAATTAGTCGGCGTGGGGAGGGAGGACGCCCAGAGGCTGGGAGGCCTACAAGGGAGACTGTTGCAACGATTGATTAAGAAAGAAAACATGGGGCTGGAGGTGAGTCAAGGCTCAGAAGAGAGAAATGGAAATAAGAGATAAGGGGTGTGGGGGGGATCAGACCCGAAGACCAGCCCGAGTCTGTTTGCACAAGGGCTCCTTGGCTGTGGCCCTGCCTGGCGCGTTGGTGGCAGAAATCCAGGTCTGGGATGATCAGGGTGAGGATGCTGCTGACTCACGGTGAGGAAGAGGAAAGTCCCTTAACGGAGCTCCGCAGCTCTTTCTAGCTTGCAAAGTCCCTGACTTCCGACTCCTGGCTTATCAAATGCATGGCTCAGCCTCAACAGATAAAGGTGCTTGCTGAGTAAGCCTAACAACCTGAATTTGATCCCCAGAACCCACAGGGTGGAAGCAGAGTCGACTCCTAAATTTTGCTCTCTGGCTTCTACATCCATGACATGGCATGTGCTCACGAAAACATAATAATAGTAAAAAATAAAGATATATTTAACTTCTGTGCCCTGTCTTCAAAATGAAGTAGCTGGGAAAGGGAACACAGCCAGAGCTAGAACCAAATACCAAGCACCTTTCCCTATGCACGGGGTGAACAGCTATCATTGTCCCAGCAGAGCCGGAACAACTTTGTGCTCACTTTCGCACTGTGTAACTCCAGGCAGTCCACATAACCTCTCTGTGCCTCGGCTGTCTTCTCTGACAGGGAGGAAAGGGTACAGGCGCTTCGTGTGTTTCTGGAAAGATGATGATACAATTTGTAAAAGAGCCCAGAAGAGAGCCTGGCTTACAGTAAGTGATCCACAAACATAGGCATCCCCACAGAACTCTTGCAAAGAATCCTGGGAACCAGCTCTGGGTCTTCGCCAGGCACTCGCCTTAGTCTTCAGACACTTGCTCCTGGGACCAGCCTTGAATTCTGCCTTACGGACATGGCCCACCAGCGCTTCAGGCTCTTTGCAAGGGCCACTCTTTCTGCCCATTTTCATGACCCTCCGTGCTAATTTGTTTGCTCCATCAGAGAGTCAGTCATCAAACATATCAAATCCCACTCTGGGACATTGCTAGGGGCTGAAATGACAAATAAAATTATGGCCTGGGCCTTAACTTCAGTTCCCTCCTGCGCCTTCTGATGGATGACTCATTAAACATTGGAGAAACACTCGCCTAGGCCACACACAGGCACTCTGTTTCTCTGTTTCTGACTCCTGCATTCGGACACAAAGTAATTATTCACAGAATCCCTTCCGGGAGTTACTTAGTTTCCTACCGTGTTCTCATTCTTTTCTCCCAGGTACCTACCTACCTTGTGCCAGTACTCCAGATGATACAGGGCAGCAGCACTGACTCTAGAGAGTTCTTCCCCACCTCCCCTGACTGAAGACCTGGCACTAATTCCCAGAGCCTGTGAACACTGTATCTAGGCCTATGGGGCAGACAAAGAACAGTCCCAAAGCAAACCCTCACGGCATCGCCACCCAATGGCTCATTCATTCTTTTTTTTAAATACTCTTTTCACCTTGATTTATTGTATGTCTGTGTGCACATGCATGAAAGCATTCATGTCACAGCACATGGATGGAGATCAGGGGATAATTTGCAGGAGTCAGTTCTCTCCTCTGCCCTGTGGGTTCCAGGAACTGAACCCAGGCCATCACACTTGGTGGCAAGCCCCGTTCACCCACTGAGCCATCTCAGTGGCTCAGTTTTTCCACATTTATCTGGAATCTCTGAAACTCCAGTAGAGGCTTTGGGAATATGAATTAGATGAAGCCCCTACCCTTGCGATCGACACAGTGATGTCTCATTGATGCAGCAGCGTCCTGGGCCATCTGGGGCAGGATGATGGGCAATAAGCACATAAATAGATCTCCGTTTTTATAGTCCAGGCTCACAGGCTCATATTCAAGGAAGACAGGAGCTGTGGCTAGGCTACATCTGCTGCTTAAATCTGAGCTCAGCAGCTACCCTCTCTGAGCTTTCGTTTGCCATGGTAGACTTCCTATCTGCCTGTCCTATGAGAAAGGAAAGAGCTAATGTGGGGGGCAAGGGGGTTGACACACAGCAAGTGCCATCTAAGGTTGTACAGTTGTTCCAAGTAGGCACATAAACAGGTCAGCAACACAGTGTGGGATAAAGCAGTGGGGACCCAGGTCACAGTGCCACACGTCGCTCAGCCAGAGGAGGAGGAGGGGCTGGACACAGATTTCTCCCCTCCCCCCCATCTAAACCTGTGTCTCTGGTACCCAGGGGCTACCCCCAAGGGAAGCAGCGCTCTGGGGGATGGAGTAGGGGGAAAGGGTGACAGACAGAGACACAAACTTTGTCTGAGGACGAGCTGGGGGCAGGAGGCCTGGGGTTCAATCCCCAGCACCACATAAACCAGGCATAGCGGCAAATGTCTGTAATCCTGGCAGTTGGGAGATGGAAGCAGGAGGATCCTTGGCTATGTAGAGAGTTTGAAGACAGTCTGGGCTACATGAGACCCTGTCTTAAAACAAAACAAAAAGGTTGGAGCCAGCTCAGCAGGTAAAATCGTTTGCTGGGAAAACATGACAACCCGGTTCAATCACCAAAATTCACAAAATGGTGGAAGAAAACCACAAAGTTGTCCTCCGACCTCCATGCTGTGGAACGTACATGACACACACCACACACACACACACACACACACACACACACACACACACACACACACCACACCACACACACACACACACCACAACACACACACAACCACACACACACACACACACACTAGTAAATAATAAAATTAATATAAAACACAGACACTTCCCCCCTCTCCATCAAAGATACCCTTCTAAAAGGGCAATGGCCCCACCTCTCACCAGGCTCAGGGCAGGCAAGAAAGCGTCCGCTTTCCTTTGTCACACGGCCCTGGCTCTCCAAAGAGCCTGTGGCACCCATGACGTGCTGTGGGGAGGGGACAATGCAAGGACAACTCCCGTTCATAAAATCCCCTCCTAGACCCCGGAGTTCCATGTCCCTGGATGACCCTTTTGTCTACCTGTGGAGGGAGGACCAGAGATTCCCGGACATACATCATCCTTAGGCACTCGGTGAGAAATGGCGGCGGGTGGACAGGCTTAGAGAAACTGAGCCAGCTACATCAGCAGCTGCCCTTTAACCCCCCACTCCGCCTCTCACCGGGGTGTGCAGGAAGGCCTATTGCGCACGGAGGCAGGGCTGTAGGCCTGGCTGGGTAGAGGGAGGAAAGAGAGACACTGTGGCATAAAAGACTTGAATCTGAGACGAAAGGTCCAGGACGGCAGGGCAGATGGGTGCGACTGTGGGGTAGGGCTACAGTTTGGAAAACACAGGAGGGATGGAAGGGCAGGGCGGAAGTCGGCCCGTTCTCCACCCCATCACAACGGCATCCTGATCTGGGACCATCCCTTCTGTACCAGCCCCCCTCCAACACCACCTGACCGGGCAGTCCCATTCCTGGGACCAGGATGTGGCAATGCAAGCCAGACAAGCCCTGACGTAGACAGCCCTACGACCCCCAAGCGCAGCCTCCTCCACAGCCGTAAGTCAAATAGTCCTTGTGGTTTGGGCACCAGCCAAGCGCCCACACCCCAGCTCACGGGACCGCAACTTCCCTGTTGCATCAGGTTACACAGCTCGTGCACACAAGCCGGGAGCTTGTTACACAACCTTGGTGCGCGCACTCGACACCCACACCCTCCGGGTAGCCTGACGGTCACACAGAGGAAACCACAGCCTTGTGAGGAGGGCACAGACTCTATCCCAGACTCCGGGCATCTAGACCTTGGTGGTGGGGAGCAAAGGCTCCTTCCTGGCTGGGAGCCAGGGCCTGTGAGCTCTCCCACTGGCCTGCTGTGGAACCCCAGGAGGCCACATCTGGGAGCCTGCTTCCTTCCTTCCACCATGGTGATCCAGATGTGCACACCCTCAGTGCCGGTCAGCTCACTCAAACCTCTACCAACACCTCTTTCTCTAGGATTGTCAGCAAATTAAGGGGCAGGAATTGATGAGAGTGGAGACAGAGGGTTGGATGAGATGACTTCTAAAAGAGCCTTTTCTTCTTTTTACTACATGCATTATTTTTATTTGAGGTGTGTGTGTGTGTGTGTGTGTGTGTGTGTGTGCGCGCGCGCGCGCGCGTGTGTGCGCGTGCGCACGCGCGAGGTCAGAGGACAACTTGCAGACGTCATGCCGTGCATGTTCTGGGTCTCACACATCGATTGTCAGACCTAGCGTGAAGCACCTTTGCCTCTGAGCCATGTCACCTGCCCTTAAAGGACATTTCTGTTGGAACTCTTCTGTCAGAACTGAGCTCCATGGTCAGCCCCTGTCCAAGGAGAGGAAGGGCTAGTGTAGGGGGTAGCAAAGGTAATTTTCTTGTATGCACTTTTTAAAAATATCTTCAAAATTATTTTAAAAAAATACATCATTTTCTACACACATTTTCTTTCCATTATCTCACAGGAAACATGTTTTATTCTATTTCATAATAAGTGGGCGAGGGATGCAGCTGGTACGTGGACCTCCCCAGGACCCGTGTGCCCTCCAACACAGATAAGACCTTAAATCAGTGTTTTACCACACATGGGTGGAAAATGAGTACAAATAACACAAGGATCCTTGATAGAACAAGGTGTACACATTTTCTTTACTTGGTCACTGGCATGCTGAGCTGGAATAAGATGGGAGATGCCTTGGGCCTCGGTGACTTTTCCAGGAAGCATCCCCAGAGGGAGATGCCTTGAGCCTCGGTGCCCTCTCTAGGATGCATCCCCAGAGTCAGTTTCTCAGCACTGCCGGAAGCCGGGATCCGTTAGGCAGAAAGGTCAGAGCTCACGAAGCTGTGGAGGCCTAGAAAGGTACCAAGGCCAGATGACTGAAACAGTCACTGCCGAGGTGTCAGACCCCAGGCCCCTGCCCAGAGCAGGTCCTGCATCCGGCTCATGCAGACAGGTAAATGATGCAAGAGGCCCAGGGGTGGCTCAGCTACCTACCTAAACTTCCTTAGATCTGCAGTGACCCCTGCTGGCTCTGGCCAAAATCAGCCCTCTGGCCCTCCTGTCCCCTCTCCAACACCTGCCCTTCCAGCATGTTCCACTAGCTTTGACCTAGGCCTATCAGGATTCCTCCCTGACCACACCCCACCAACAGGGTCCCTCTTCTCCCTCCCATCCCTATAGGCGGAATGGAACCGTGCTCTCTAAGGCAGTATGTTATTGAGTGCTGGGGTGTGATGATATGGGACTCAAAAGACTACTGCTTCCTTAGTAAGGGCAGAGTCGACCCTGAAAGTCCAAGACCACCTCACTATTAGCAAACCTTCGTTGACTTTCCCAGGAAGTGGGCCAACCCCTCATGGCAGATGATTCCTAAGAGATAAACACCATCCGCATATCAGTCCAGTTCTCAGAAGAGAAACTGAGGCTCAGACATTTTTTAAAAATAAACGCATAAAGCAGATGACAAATCTCAGCTTGCAAACCCCGCCTTTGACTCCGGGGCCACCCCCAAACCGCCACCAGTGTTGGCCTTGTCCCGGCTGGTCCCCAAGGTCACCTCTAGTAGTCAAGTGTAGTCTTACCTGCCCAGCACTCGTTGCTTTGGGGAAGGGTGACTCAGGAGGCCTTACCTGTGCCTTTCAGAAATGGCCCTGTCATCTACATGGACCCATCACTGAACCATCCCTTGGAAAGCTGGGCTGCAGATCTGATTTTTGTGCCTAGGACCCACCCTCCTGGATAAAAGTGGCTTGAATGGAGACTCCTCCTCCTCCACCTGTGTGGAGGGAGAGGGGGGGTGTCACGACATGGACAGATACACATGATTTACACCTGGCCATTCAAGGCCCAGCCCATCTTGACCACAGTGACTGGTTCAGAAAGGCCATATGACCAGCCCTGGCCAATCAAAGACAGTGCCAGGATTTTCCTAAAGCTGCTGGGAATGGAACAGTTTCCCATTCTGAAGCTGTTGAACAGGGGTGTGTGTGTGTGTGTGTGTGTGTGTGTGAGATACCCTTCTAAAAGGGCAATGGCCCCACCTCTCACCAGGCTCAGGGCAGGCAAGAAAAGTGCCCGCTTTCCTTTGTCACACGGCCCTGGCTC